TCCTGAATGAAACTACAGGTCTTTACCCTGGAATATGAGCAAGAGCAACAAAAGAAGAACAGCCCTAGCAACTAGTAATGTTTACATATTGTAAATATTGTAAAGAAGGAGCAGCTGTGCAACAATTATAAAGTAGCAGCACTTGCAAGGGTGGGAGCAATAGTTTTTCCATCATGCCAACACTTTTGTAATTTCCTTCCACTGGTGCCTTGTTTTGTTATACAGGATGAACGTAAGGCCGCCAACGTTTTTAGCTGTGGTTTGGAACTGATATGAACGTTAGCATCTGAATCTCAGCTTTTCTGTTCCACCACATGGTTTATTCTCAGGTGCTGAGTAGCTATGTTGGCTGTCGATTTTAGTTTGAACAGTGTTTTTCCTAATGGTGCACAACTTGGTGGTCTGTTAAGTTCCCTGATTTTGCAAAACCAAACCATCTCTAGATCTGTGAATATGACCAACCTTCTGGATTTGTCATTGTCAGCTGTTGCAAAAGTAATTCAAGTGTGTCTAACTGTCACAGCTCATATCTGTGCCTGAAAGTAAATAGAGACATCTTACATTTTCACAAAATTTTAAATTAATCAAATTTATTTGATATCTTTCCAAGTCCTACGTGTAAGAGATGATTAGGAGAGCTTGGAAATGTTTTTATCTGGCTGACTATTTTGTTCCCCCACAGAAACACTTACCACACTTTGTGACAAAAAAAATAAAAATCCTCCCTTTCTCCTATGCTCTGTTACCTTACAACATTGCCTGCACTTCACTACGAGGCTACATCTCTAGATGTTATATGGTCTGTCTCCTTCTGCCAAGAGAAAATATAGCAATTTGAAGCAGCTTGTTGGCAGGCAGATCGTAAAGAGAAATAAAAAAAAAAAAGAAAAAGAAAAAACTCCACAGCAGATGTCACCTCAGGGAGACAAACAACTGCAATGCAAGGGGATTTCAAAAGGGGCCTGTCAATCGGCCAGAGTGACCTTGAGGGACAACATACATATTGGAAAAGTAACTGGGACGTCCACGCGCACATGCCACTTTAGGGTCTCGCTAAAGGGTGGGAGCAGTCGTTACACACAAGGGTGGTGTCGGCTTTCTACCCCCACGGAAACAGCTGTGTAGACACGCAGAAAACGCTGGGTGGGTGAGATGTGCAGCTGTCGAAGGGGTATACTCCTGAGAGATGGACAAATTGGGAAAGAGTTTGAAGCGTTCAAATGCAACCAGTTACAGTTTTGCTCCTATTAGGTCCACTAAAAGCTGACAAAGAAATGCGTTTAAGCCGTTCAGTCACATTCAAAACTGACACAACAGATTTCCTCAGAAGAGAAGTGCTGTCAGGGTAAATTTCATTGACAATACACACAAACTTTTGAGCCTCGGGAGACGAGACAGGTAAAGCTTTGTTGACAAATTAGGACTGTCCTTAAATCCCTCTCTTGTTTTTATACTTTCTTTTCATTTAATGATAACTCTACATGGACTGGTAATGTTTCTAACTCTGCCTCAACATCAATAGCTTTTCAAGTAGCATCTGTTTTTTCCTCGTTGCCTTGACAAGACACCCACTTTCAACGAGACAGAACTGACTGGGAAGTCTCCAATACACACAGCACGTTCCGAGGAGAAAACTACATACGCTGAACAAAATTACCTGTTAGATCAAACAGAATTGAAGTCACAATACCACAAGTTCAAAACTCCCTTCCTGACTCTATCTTGTCTGACTGGAAGTTGCAGCCGAGCATGACGTGATCACAAAACATACTTTAAAAATTTTAATGACACAAATAGCAAGTATAAACTATCATTTAAAATATTTTAAAATTACTTTTCTGAACATCCAGAGGAGCAGAAGTTTAAAAGCACAGGGTACCACAAGTGGCACATTAAAATAATACGCACTTGACAAAACGTTTAAAAGCAACAGGACAAAGGGGCTTTTTTTTTTTTCTAAAAGCAATGCTGCAGTTTTCTTTCCTCTTTTTAAGATGAATCAAAATGGCACTATGAGTAAACCCTGACCTTCGAAAGCAAGAACCCAGTCTTTAGCTCGCAAAAGAAACATTTAATACATTTCACTTTTTTGTGGAGCTAATAAAAAATCTTTTTGCATCCCAGAATCACTGAAAAGGTTGCACTGATAGGGATTCCCAGTTGTGCTTATTAAATGGACTGTTAGTCCAAGAAAATCTTGACTTAACGTTTCTTTTTTTTTAAAATATAAAAATGTATACATCATTTTTAACAAAATTTATATATAAAACATTTATATATAAAACTGCAGATTGTACTAGACAGGGGATGTCAGTTTACAGCAGTAGGGGATGGGGAGTAAGAGGAGATTGGCCCCAAATATCACATCAGAGCTTCAGCCACATCCAAAGGGAGAGCAAACCAAACAACCTCTAACAGAAACCGAACAGTCAGACAGGCCTCCTCTGCACTAGAGTTTCATCTCACACAAACACGCAATATTTGGCGGCAGGCTAAAGTTTGGGAAGGTGCTGTGGAAACCCTTGTAAACCTCAGACATGTGTGACTTTAGAGCAGTCATACTGGGGCTGTGAATTTGCAAGTGTTTCAGGCAGGATTTCATGAACACTAGAGGAGGGGAAGTTTTATCCGTTTTCCGTCTTTCATGCGCCGCACTGAATCATCGCATCTGTCCTGGAATACAGAACTGATTTTTGAACCTTCAAGTTCCCCATAAGCTACAAAACCAAGAGGTGCAGAAAGTAACTTCATTTTTTATATAAAATAAGTTTAGTGATTTTCTTGGACTAACAGTTCATTTAATAAGCACAACTGGGAACCCTTATCAGCGCAGCCTTTTCTGTAATTCTAGGTTGCAAACAGATTTTTTTCCTGTTAGCTCCACAAAAGAAAAGCCACTAAGTGAAAAATGTATTGCATATTTTGTTAAAAAAAAAACAAAAAAAAAAACTCCCTTCTTACCACATGGGAGCTACAGGGTGGCTTCTTGCTTTCAGAGGCCAGGGTTAACGCATAGAGTTTTCTAACAGCACCACGGCTGAGCTCTTTGAGTGGGAATGAATAGGAAAACATATCTGCTTCCTAACTCGCCCTGGAATGAAAACACCAACACGCCCAGCATTCCCAGCTGAGCACAATAAAGCAAAATACAGACGCCTCATCCGCTTTTACGGCATCTACGGCGTGTTGAGCAAATCAAACTTTAGGCATTTAATGACAAAATAATTACAAGTGAAAAAAAGTGATAGAACTGCATTCTAGAAAATTTATGATTCTCAAAACACAGTGATTTAGCAGCTAGATTTCTGCAAGCCTCAACTTGAAAATGAAGTGCAAAATCCCTGTGATGAAAAGAACTACATTGTTGTAGTATGAAGATAGTATCTGTGCTACTTCACAGGCAGATTACAGGACTTCAACATCTGATGCAACTAAACAACATTCAAGGTTAAAATTTATTTGATTGGATGTATTTAGCTTCATGTTTTACTAGTTGTTTTGGCATTGCTTCTGGACGGGGAGTGAGGAAATAGCTGCCTTTGTGTCTCAAGCGTTCTGTTTATCATCTATCAAGACAGCCGAAAATCTTTTCAGACCGGTTTAGCAACTACATACTACAGCCTTCTAATCCAGTCATGCAACCGAAACTGCGAACTACACGCTGCTCTTTACGTCGTCTGCTGCCTGAAGCAATCGCCAGTTTATCCAGTGGTTTATGCAGAAGACGGAATGAATATTATTTTTATTCATCATGGTGTCCAGGCCAACACTACACACAGCATGGGGACAGGCTGCCAGGGGGCTGTGGCGCTCTCTAGTGTCCCCAGCTCAGTTACATAAACCATAGGTCCAACCTTCCGCTGAGACCAGCTTATGTTATTGATACCATCAACATAAACGGTAAATAAGTCGCCTTTATAAGAGCTAGCGAGTGCGCAAAAATCACTGACAAAGCGCCGAAACAAATGTTGAGGCAGGCGAACCCCGTCTGGACGGCGCCGCCGACAAAGGGCGACGCAGTTTTGGTAGCGCAAGCTTGACTGGCAAAAAAAAAAAAAAAAGAGGAAAAAACACGACGACTGCTGCAGCAGCAAGGGAAGGAAATATAACCGAGAGAAACATGTCCTCCCTTGAAGACAAATGTTTCAGTAGCTAAGCGAAGGGAGACAAACAAAACGGTGCTATGTTTGATGAAAAAGTTGGACGGCTGAAATAATCTTCGTGCACTCTCCCTCCGAGCAGCAACTCACTGGCCATTGTTTGGGCAACAAGCACACATTCCTCCGTGCTCTTACACTCGGCCGCTGGGCAACAACTAACGCGACCCTCGAAGCAAAACGGGGCGAGCGAAAGCCAGACAGTATAACAGGCTTTGACATATGTCTAAAACAAAGCACTGACTGACTATTACATGCGTGGATAAGTTAACGCCACCGTTTGGTTCCCGAGGAGTTCAACGGAACGCAGACACCCAGGCTCGCTAGCTTAAAATGTGGCTAACCCGAGCTAAACTGCTGTGGAACATGTGGAATCAGGCCCCGTCTAAACTAACCTAAATTTGCTCAACCCAAAGTGTGTTTCAGAACTTATCCTTGAACAGTTTTTTTGAACACGTTAACAGCAATATGTAGTTCTAGTTTTTCTGAGTGAGTTAGAGAAAGTTTTCATGTCGTCGCCACTAAGTCAAGAGTGCAGTAACAAACTCCGTGAACGATCAACTCTGAAATCCACATCCCCCTCTGTGATCTGGGGTAAAAACAAACTCACGAAGAATAGTACTGGATTTACTGCTGTTGCTGTGGGATATGCTTCAGTGGAAGTTGTCCTACCGTGTCTGCCACGGCCGGGAATATGGGGGTACCCTATACTAGAGTGCGTCTGGGTCTCACTGACGCTATGCAGCAGGGATGCCCGACGAAGCCGTGCCGACACCGGACTGCGCCGTGGTCACGCTTCCCTCCCTCTCCCTCCCCGGGGTCTCTCCCCGAAACGCCGCTTACCTTCATCCAGAAGCCTCTCTAGGTGTGTGAAGATGCCGCAGAGATTTGGCAAACTGGTCATGAGCTTCTTCTCGTTTAACAATTGCATCAAATAGTCGGGACTCGGCCTCGGTCGCTCCTTCACTTCGACCTCTCCGACCATCATCTTTGCGGCGAGAGCGGAGAACAAACCACCGTGGAAACACAGAATCCTCTTTTAAGAAAAAGAGAGAAAAAAAAACGAAAAAGAAAAAAAAAACTTGCGGCTCCAATCCCTCGCTTCCCTCCTCCTTGAGAGCAGCAGACTCTGTAAACCCCCCCTAAAATTCAGGTTTGGTTCGCTCTTGTTGTTTGAGTGGAGAGGGGGCAAGAACAAACCGTTATCTCCCTTCCAGAGACTAGTGCGCCGTACTCTCCTCTATGCCGTGTGCGCTCGGGGACGTTCGATTCCACCACTGTAGGCGCGAGAGACTGTTCCACCGGAAAGGGTCCGTCCTCCTCACACTCATTGGCCACCGCCTCTTTCAGGGGACTAATGGAATGACCAATAAGCGCTCGGATCCGAGTCAAGGGGGCGGGGCAAAGTGGTTAGTGGAATAATGGACATGAATTCGAGCCAATGGCGTGCAGTGCGGAGGAACGTACATAAGTGTTGTCAACACAGAATACCACAAATGACTTCTTTCTCTCTCCCCCCACTGAGAGCAACATTTTATCAGTGCTAATTTTTTCACATTCAGTCTTTTTGTACCTTAATAGTTTGACACTCTCATCAGTGGTCTCACGGCAGTAATCATGACAATAGTGTCTGTGTGTGAATTGGTCTTGATTAAATCTAGTTTGCAGTGTAGATATTATTCAGTTTTGATTTGGAATGAATAAACAGCAAAGAGGAGCCTGATTAACAAAGACAGCTGTGTTCAGCTGTAAGTGAAATGTCGTCTTAGATAATGTTCTATATCAAGTTATTTGAAGTTTGAATTTTTTTGACAGAAAAGTACATCTTTTATAAATTTTGAGTTGGGAGTCATCTTTTTATTTTTGTGATTTCTTTAGATTTGCCATTATGTTTGTTTAAAGACCCTCTCTAATGAAAATCAAGTTTTTCACCTTGCTAACATGTCAGTGTGTTTTCTTTGATCTGTTGGAACTCACATCATGAGTAAAGTAAGTGCTCATAGCCATGGCTTATACATTCCCAACTTGAAATTGCAGAGTATCAACAACAGACTCAGAAACACGGATTCATACTTTTTGAGCTTCATATGCAAGAATTCCAAGCAAACAAACCTATCAATGTGCAGGATGGGACTTTCTTTGTCAATATTCTTCTTTAGAATAAATTTTTGCTTCAGACATGTAACATTTGCTGAATTACTTCAATGTTACAACTTCCCTTTATGTAGAGAAGAGCAGTTTTACTGCGTTTGAGCAGAGTTGTGGGTAAACTGGTGTGCTGCAGCAGGCAGGAGTCTGTGGAGAGAGAGGCAGTTCTTCATAGAGCTGCACATTCTAGATAAAACAACGGCAGGGAGCTACCTCTTAGCCATTTTCAGGAAAGAAGGTAATTTTTTTCAAATGGAAAAAACTCTGATACACTGAGTTTTTAAATGTTAAATCAGTAATGAGAGGCGCAATCACAAGCCTGGGAACTGTTATAATTTTCATAAAGGGACATGGATAACCAGGTTTTTCATGCACCATGTAATGCCATGTCTGGAATTTAATTTAAAAAACAAGCTAGGACTTATAGCCAGCATAAATGTGCACATTTAAATGCATTCATTATGTCTTATGATATACACTTAAGTTTAAACATGGAGTACTTTCAGCCATGAAGCCAGCTCTCCTCTATCGTAAAGATACATCAGCGTGATTGCATTAACTTTGTAAAAAGGAGCAAGAATAAAGAGATCCTTTACAGTGCAGTCCTTCATGTTGCCGATCTGATTTCCAAACAACATTACAGTGACTAGATGAAAGCACAGCAGCCCCATTTGTCTCTCAGATTTTATAAGTTCTGGTGTGATTCTATGTCTTAGCAGTGACGTGTATGGGTTTCCTAATCTGGTACGGACCTGAGAGCTGGTTTCAATACTTCTACGTGGGTTGAATGTGTATTCAAGTTTCCTCTTTACACACTCAGTTTGTGTGTGTGTGTGTGTGTGTGTGTGTGTGTGTGTGTAACAGAGGTAATGCACTTGCCAAGACCAGCCCACGAATCAGGCTGATTGTTGATTTCATGAGTGGGCTTCACTTCTAATGCTGAAAAATGAAGGAAAGATCAACCTGTGCAGTCCATATCCAACATGAGGCCTATTGTTACTCAAGACTTGTACATCTTGTCATCTGTCTTGGGACCAGTTGATCAATGCTCCAGTAATCAATATTGCCTATTCATTGTCTTGTCCTTGGGAAGACCTTTCTACATATCCTCTGAAGATAGAATGCACGCAACTAGCTACCTCCCGTTATTCACATCCTGCGTAGTGTGAAAATAAAACACAACTGGTCCATTCTGATTTCAACAGCTGTTGGTTGAGAGGCGCCCAGCTAAATCTGAGCCCTGACCTTGGCTGTCATTCAGTTTGTCTGCTCACTGCTCACCCACTCGTGTCTTTTGTAAGAGTGGTCCCCACACCGGGTGCATGAAAGCTTAAACAGCTGCACTATAACCTTCTGGCTTTAGTTTGTCACCACTGTGTTGGAATAGTGATAGACAATTAAGTCCAAGGTCTTATACTGCAGCAAGTCAATAAATTGATCAAACAAAATAAACTACATACGGCGATGCGTTTGGACCGGTGCAATTAGACGGAAATTGTGTCACATCATCAATAAGACATATGTCACATACATGCGACATATATGCAAAATTTTAAACTGCTCACAAACAACAGGGGGAAAAAATTCCGCAAAGGCATTTAATCGGGCCGAGACAACAGCATTTAGGTGTGCAGCAGATGACAGGAGTCTTCACATCAAAGCAGGAAGACAGATACAGTTGCCTTAACAACCAGCACGACACATTTGTGGATCCTGCTTTTCTGCCCTTTAGCCAGCGTCTACATTTAGCTACAGTATGTTATGACTATAATTATTGCAGAGCTTTAGGTGAGTCTCAGATCGACTGAGCTTAGAGGAGAAATCCTTCAGAATAAAGTTTTTAATCTTTATAGAACTTGCGTAGGCCTCTGCAGGTCTGAAAACCTTGATTATAAGTGCTACTCCATCAGTAGACAAGAATGTGGAAACGTTGGCACCATGGCAAGATGTAGTTAACTGGCACATTAATATATGAGTCCATTTTGTAAATATTTGAAATGTAATCATTCTTTAAAAACGTGTCCTCACTTTGGTGTACATCAAGATTTCCGAGGTAGGATTTAACAGATCTGTACTTGAAGGTCCCTTGAAGTGTCTGGAATTTACTATTTGACTGTCAGAAATCCAACCAGTAACCACAGGAAAACGCAGATAGTTAGATTTTTGCATAATGGCTTGTCATTTACACCACCACCAATTACACAGGACATGTAATTTTAGTCCTGTCGTCCAATCGGCCTCTGGTATCAGCGAGCTATCTTAGAGCCCAGATGATAAAACATCCCTTGAAGTCAAACACTGATAAGTGATTTTATTGGATAAGACTAAGTAGATAGGCAGGGGGAATGAGGAACCCAATTTTTCATGTGACTTGGAGATAGCTAAATTGTTCACGGTGTTGACTTTATGTTTCTCTTTTTTTTGCCTCCCTTATTCTTTGAATATAAGCGATGGAAAAGTCACAGTCGTCTTGCATCAAAGAGAATCTGGCATTTATTCTGAGCTTTGAAAATGGGTTTAGTTCTTATCACTAACGGTGTGCATGGTAATTTGCACCTTGCCTTGCGTTCATTCTTCTCAGATGGTTCACATTTGGTTTCTGTGTGTGCGTTGATATGTGTGTGTGTGAAATAGCAACACAGAGTTGGAGGAAGAGAAAGAAAGATGCAGCAATAGCATACCTAAATGTGTGTGTGTGTGTGTGTGTGTCTTTCGACAGCCTGAGAGTAAACAGAAACGATATTAATCCCCCCTTTTGCTCCCCCTGCCCTTGTGTTTTCGTCATTTTTAATAACACGGTTTCTATTCAACAATTAATCCAATTAACAAGGATCCAGATAATTAATGAACATGCGTTTAGCCCCTTTTGAAGAGAGGCTGTTAGCTCGCTAACAATGAGCTTGGAGAGCGCCCTGGGTTTTCAACTGAAAGTATGCTGAAGGAGACAATGGGGCCCTCGGTAAGGGCCCTGTAGCTTTTTGCAGTTCGCCTCGGGGGCCACAGCCGCAGGAAAGCGAGCGAGAGCTGGTGATTCTGTCGAGGCAAGGCTGTCTGTGATAACCACTGTGGCTCTGGAGGAGGCGAACAGAGACCCACCGGCTCTGATAACACGCATACATACAAACAAGAACAACATCTTTCCCTTTTTCTTCTGACTTGCTAGTTTGGGGACTGTGGGGAGAAAAAGTGCTGGAAGAATCTGGGTCATTTACATTTTGAGGAAGGTGTGAGTGCAGCGCAACAGAAATAAATGCCCTTCTAGCAACCACAGCATATACAGAGAAATGCATAATGTACCTATTATTCATTTTAACTGGTATCATAAGCATGACATGACAAATGCTCTTTTCTTGCTTGTGTGCATGTGTTCAAGCATTGTTGCACTCATACTTGTCTGTGCATTTGTTATTGTTAGTGACTGCACATTATTTATGTGTCTTGAAATTACCTGACATAAAAATTGTAGACACAGAAAACAAAGAGGAAGCGTATGGAAGTGAAAGCAACAGTAAGGCCTGTTAGGCTCAAAATCAGCTCTCTCCTCTGGGTTTACTTCAATGAGCTGTAAAGATCTATAAAGATCAATTAATTTAAGGACCTTTAAACTGCTCTGTGGGCACTCATTTGAAATGCCAGTATAACCAGCCACACAGTGCAGGCGTTGCCATTTAACTGTATCTGTGTTTATTCTGCCAGATGACTTCGCAATCATAAACTTCACAGACTGATCACAGCCATTTGCCTGTTGCTCTGGAGTTATATTCACAGGACTTCTCAGGGGTCTAAAAGTAGCTTCTAACTGGCTGAGTTGGGAGAAACTCATAAAAAGTAAGGGGTGTGTCGGTCCTAAAATGAAGGCTCTCAACCTTTTGGTCTAATTCACAAAGCATTTTAGCATTAAAAGTAGCTCCTAAGTCTGGGAAAAGCTGGGAGGCAATTTGCCCATTCATGCAAATATTTAGGAAAAACACAGCAATAATGAACTTTTTA